TCCTTTTTTCTAGCCTCTGGAAAATGAAAAATATTACCTTTTAATTTTTACATAGAAAACTATAAAATAAGAAGCTATTATTAACCATGATCCAGGTAAGATGTGTTGGCATTAAAAGATGGAGAGGAGGAACATGATTAGAACATAGAATCAAGGGTGAAGCGTGGTGGCTCACGCCTGTAATCCCAGCACTTTGGGAGGCCGAGGTGGGCAGATCACCTGAGGCCAGAGGTTCGAGACCAGCCTGGTCGACATGGTGAAACCTGTCTCTACTAAAAATACAAAAATTAGCTGGGCCTGGTGGCATGTGCCTGTAGTCCCAGGTATTCGGGAGGCTGAGACAGGAGAATTACTTGAACCCGGGAGGCAGAGGTTGTAGTGAGCCAAGATTACACCACTGCACTCCAGCCTGGGTGACACAGTGAATCTCTGTCTCGGAAAAAAAAAAAAAAAAAGAAAAAGAAAAACAGAAAGAAAGAAAATAGCATCAATATGGGAACATACTAAATGAGGAGTTACCTTCTCCCATTCCCATCTCCCAGAGTAAACTATTAACAGTTTCTTATCATTCCATCCAGAAAAATTATGCGTATATATTGACATGTCCTGTTTTTAAAAAGTACACAAAATTGGTCATATCCCAAATAGTATTCTCTAATTTGTTATTTTAAACTTAACAATATATTTTTATACATATATAAATCTATTTTATTCTCTATAACTGTTAAATCATATTTTGTGAAATGGACGTACAATTCAGTCCAGGAAGATTGTGAAGTTTCTCTCTTTTTTTTTTTTTTTGCGAACACTCGCTCATCCTCTTGCCCCTTGATTTTCTCCTGAGCGTCTGACTTGGCCAGGAGCTGTGATTCAGGTGACAAGTAAGATAGAGAAGGTCCCGTGTACCCAAATGTCCAGGGCAAATTGCTGTGAAACTGTTGTAGGTGACAGTGTTTGCTTGTTTTCCTTACTGGAGAAAAGTTCCAACGTCAATAGCCAGTTTGCCATGTATCTTGATGGCTGAACATTTTGGACAAACTTCAATGTTTTCAATAATAAAATTCCACATTTGGAAAGGACCTGAAGGTCATTTGGCTTAACCTCCTTGAACTCACTGTAGAAATTTCTTCTACAAGCCTCTGTGTTATCATTTTTTTTTTTTTTTCTGAGACCGAGTTTCACTCTTGTTACCCAGGCTGGAGTGCAGTGGCGCAATCTCAGCTCACCACAAACTCCGCCCCCTGGGTTCAAGCGATTCTCCTGCCTCAGCCTCCCGAGTAGCTGGAATTACAGGCATGCGCCACCACGCCCTGCTAATTTGTATTTTAGTAGAGATTTCTCCATGTTGGTCAGGCTGGTCTCGAACTCCTGACCTCAAGTGATCCGCCCGCCTTGGCCTCCCAAAGTCTGGGATTACAGGCGTGAGCCACTGCGCCCAGCCTGTGTTATCATTTACTGTCGCTATATCATAACATCGAACAGCTTTTACTAACAGAAATTCTTCCTCATTTCCTCAGACCAGTCACCATGCAATGTCCCCGCACTGGCCCCGCTCTGCCCTTTGAAACATCCTCGAACATGTGTGTTCCTCTTCCCACACGGCTCTCCAGATGATTAAGGACCTCGCTCACATCCCTGAGTCCACTGTTTATTCATTTAACAAATGTTTCTCTAGAGCCCGCCATGTTTCCAGCACTGAGACAGGCACCTCGCAAACTCCGTGAGGGCAGAGATATCAGTCTAACTTGCTATGTGTGGTAACCACAGCACCTAAAAGGGCTTTCTGTGCAGTAGGCATTTAATACGTATTTGTTGAATAAATGAATGAATACAAAGGTGGATAACATAGTCTCCGTCCTCAAGGAACTCTTAGTGTAGTGGGAGTGGGCGAACAGAACTACAGGCAACTCTAATCTAGGAGCCGGGAGAGAATGTGAGTAGCAAAATCTCAAAGGACAGGCCCCTAACCCAGCATTTGTTACCTTCCCTTCTCCGCTGTGAGGGATTATCCGTTATCTTCCCTTCTCCACCACCTCCCTCATGCACTGTGATGTCAGTCACATCATTCTGTCATGGTATGTCTGCGTGTCTATGTTTCCTAACTGTCAGCTCTTTGAGGACAGGGACTGAGTTTTATTTAGCTTTATAACCCTAATGCTTAGCAGAGGGTCTGGCCTAGAGGATGCATTTCTTATTTATTTACTTAGATATTTATTTTATTTATTTATTTATTTATTTGCTCTTGTCACCCAGGCTGGAGTGCAGTGGCGCAATCTTGGCTCACTGCAACCTCCACCTCCTGGGTTCAAGCGATTCTCCTGCCTCAGCCTCCCGAGTAGCTGGGATTACAGGTGCCCGCCGCTATGCCCCGCTAATTTTTGTATTTTTTTTAGTAGAGATTGGGTTTCACCAATCATGTTGGCCAGGCTGGTCTCCAACTCCTGACCTCAAGTGATCTGCCCACCTCAGCCTCCCAGAGTGTTGGGATTACAGGCGTGAGCCACCATGCCCGGCCCATAATCATTAAATGAAGTGACTGACTGACTGATGGATGGCTAAATGAATTAATACATTAACACTCCCATGGAAAAAAAAAAATTGAAGTAACTGCTTTCATGGGATTACATTAGTCTTGCCTGACGTTTTACCAATACAAAAACTTAGTGAAGTAGAAGTGACAGAAATCTTGGGAGGAGATGACCGTGATAACTAGGGCTCCACAGAGCCTCTCTGTTTCCACCAACATTTAATGAGCACCTACTCTGTGCCAGGTGCACTGCCAGACTCTAGGTCAAGGCAAACGAGACACAGCTCCTGCCTCTAAGGTGCTCCCCGACTAGAAGAGGAGATACACACGGAAATCACGAGGCCGCAGGTGACTCTGACAGGGTGACAAGGTGCCGTGCAGGGTGGGGTGGTCAGGAAAGCCGCCTGGAAGAGAAGGCGCCTGAACGGAGTCCTGAGGAAACTGTCCGGGTCAGGAGATGAAGGAAGGCCATTCTGGGTGGAGGCAGCCACCTGGGCAGGGCCCGAAGGGGTGAGGACAGGCCTTTTTCAGGTACTGCATAGCACCTGGGAGGGCAGGGAGTGGAGGGAGGGGGAGAAGTGGAGGTGGGGCCAGATCAGGAAGGGCCTTATAGGACTGCTAAGGAATTTGGACTTGACCGTGATGAGGCCATGAGGAAGCCATTGAAAGAATTAAAAAATCCCAGGATAATCAGATTTGCATTTTAGAAGATTGTTCTTACAGCAGTTTAGAAAATGGATTAGGCTTGCACAGTGGCTCACACCTGTAATTCCAGCACGTTGGGAGGCTGAGGTGGGAGGATCACTTGAGGCTAGTCGGCCTCCCCAAGTGCTTGGATTGCGGGTGTGAGCAGCCTTGTCTCCCTGGCTGCTTCAGTCTTCTGCAGACAGAAGGCTCTGTTAAATTTGCAAGCTACAAGCACCTGAGCCACACGATGGCCCAATCAACCAAGTCACGTGTAAAGCTATCTCTTGGCTGTGAGGAATAAAATCAATATTTTAAGACCTTAATTATTCAAATGCTATACCCCAGAGGTGATTCATAACTTGAGGAGTGCCTCAGTAGGAGAACACGGGCTAAAGATTTGTGTGAACATGGCTTAGCCTGAAATTTCCCATATGCAGTCAGTCAAAGGGCTGACAAAAGATAAAATAACAGAACTGTTCTTACACAGCTTCCCAAGGAGATCCCAGAGGAGCCAGGCTGCTCCTGCTAAGAAGCCTAGACTCAATCAGGAGAGAAGAAACTTGCACTAATGAAGGAGCCGCAGCCCCCCGGGCTCTCCGAGTGCTGGTGTCTTCAAGAATTCCTGCATCCTTTGCACAAAGTGGGGCTGGTAAAGCGGCAGGGGTGGGGCGGGAATGGGGGAGAATGGGACTCTTCCAGACATTACCTTTAGAATAAAATGTATGATATTGGCCGGGAGCAGTGGCTCAGGCCTGCAATCCTAGCATTTTGGGAGGCTGAGGCAGGTGGATCACCTGAGGTCAGGAGTTCAAGACCAGCCTGGCCAACATGGTGAAACCCCTGTCTCTAGTAAAAATACAAAAAATTAGCTGGGTGTGATGGCAGGTGCCTGTAATCCCAGCTACTCGGGAGGCTGAGGCAGGAGAATCGTTTGAACCTGGGAGGCGGAGGCTGCAGTGAGTGGAGATCTTGCCATCATGCCATTGTGCTCCAGCCTGGGGGACAAGAGCCATATTTCTCTCAAAAAAAAAAAATGTAAGATATTTTCTGAGAAAGTGTCAGTAGTCTTGTATCCCTGCCCCTAAGTCATCACTTCGTGCAGGAACTTCAGCCTCCTGTCCTTGGTGCATGCGCTGTTAGGGCCATGTGTCAACCAGCAGGGGGGTCGGGGTGGGGTGGGGGTGGAGACGAGGGTGGGGTGGAGGTGGGGTTGGGGCGAGGGTGGGGTGGGCGTGGGTGGGGTGGGGTGGGGTGGGCGGGGGCGGGGATGGGGTGGGGGGGTGGGGGGTGGAGGTGGGGCGGGGGTGGGGGTGGAGATGGGGCGGGGCGGGGGTGGGGGCGGGGCGGGGGTGGGGAATGGGGGTGGGTGTGCGTGGGGGGGGGTGGATGCCGGGGTTGAGGGGGTGGGTGGGGTAGGAGCAGGGTTGGGGTGGGGCGAGGGTGGGGTGGAGGCTGGGTTGGGGTGAGGGTGGGGTGGGCATGGGTGGGGGTGGAGATGGGGCGGGGTAGGGTGGGGGTAGGGTGGGGGTGGGGTTGGGGTGGGGTTGGGGGTGGGGGGTGGGGGTGGGGTGGCAGATCAAGTTAAGAGTGTGGATGGGGCCGGGCACTGTGGCTCACGCCTGTAATCCCAGCACTCTGGGAGGCCGAGGCGGGTGAATCACCTGAGGTTGGGAGTTTGAGAGCAGCCTGATCAACATGGAGAATCCCCGTCTCTACTAAAAATACCAAATTAGCCGGGCGTGGTGGCGGCGCCTGTGATCCCGGCTACCCGAGAGGCTGAGGCAGGAGAATGGCGGGAACCCGGAGGCGGAGCTTGCGGCGAGCCAAGGTGGCGCCACTGCGTTGAGGCCTGAGCGACAGGATGGTTTGGTGAAAACTCATCTCACTAATGGAGGAAGCAACTAAAGCCAGCCTAGAAAAATAGAGGCGGCGTGGCATGGTGGATGCTCCTGGATGGGCATGAAGCAGCCTTGAGTTCTGAGTCTCAGGCTCTGCCACTGTGTGACCTTGGACGAGACAACGTCCTTCTCAGCATCAGTTTCTGTGACACTAAAATAATGATCATAATCTCCTACTTACTGGGTTCTTGGGAAGATGAAATGCAGTTAAGAAGATTTGCAGAAGCACTTTGCTGTTCCCTCAGACTGTGTATTAGTCAGGACATTGCTTTGGTTTCTATAACAGACACCGAAATAATAAAGGCTTAAACAAAACAATGTATTTTTCTCTCACATAGAGCCCCACGCTGGTGTGGCTGCTCTGGCCTCTGAGGTCTTCAGAGCCCCGCTCCTTCTGTCTTACTGGCTTCCTTAGCCTGCTCCAAGACGGTTCCCTGCCACGACCACATGCCAGCCGGCAGAAGGGGCAGGGGCCAAGGGAGGGCAAGCCCTGTCGCCATAGCCCAGCACTGTCTACACACACCCTCCCTCTTCCTGTTAGAGTCCTTCATCACATCTCGCTCTAAGAGAGGCTGGGAAGTGCAGTCGCTTTCTGGGAAGCCTACACTTGACTGAAAATTCCGTGATGATGAAAGAAGAGGGGATGGACTTTTTTTTTTTTTTGGATGGAGTCACGCTCTGTCACCAGGCTGGAGTGCAATGGCACGATCTCAGCTCACTGCAACCTCCGCCTCCCGGGTTCAAGTCATTCTTCTGCCTCAGCCTCCCGAGTAGCTGGGATTGCAGGCGACTGCCACTGTGCCTGGCTAATTTTTGTATTTTTAATAGAGACGGGATTTCACCATGTTGGCCAGGCTGGTCTCCAACTCCTGACTTCAGGTGATCCGCCTGCCTCGGCCTCCCAAAGTGCTGGGATTATAGGCTTGAGTCACCACGCCTGGCCCTAAGAGATGGACTTTGAGGGACAATTCAAAGTTCCCACTAACTCCCCTATTTGTTTGTCTAATTCCCTTCCATCCTCAGGTCTCGAGTTTATGTCACTTCTTTGGGGAGGCCTTTCCAGACCCTCAAGTCTCCATTAGCTGCCCCCATTGCTCCCTTACGCCTCCTTCACAACGCTCGCTGCACCTGTAATTTTTGACTGACTCCATTTTGCCATGAGAAGGTAATTCTGTACCTGTGGACTGTGCTTCCTCCCGAGGCCTGCCTGTGGATGCTCAATACATCCACACTGACAGGTAGCAAGGTGCTGTCCCCAGAGGGCTCCGGGAGCTCCTCGGGCAGAGCTTCACAGCTTCGGGCCACCACCAAGTCCTCTCCAACCCAGGATTTGTTTGGAAAGAAACTGGTACCTTCTGCCGCTTCCTCAGTGGTGGGCGTGCCGGCACCGTATCCTTTTATCTGCTAGTCCTCTCTTCGTGTGGGCCTCTAGAACTGCTCAAGTCCAGCCTCAGATAGCCCATGAGTGGGTGACTGTGCCTTTTCATCATCTTGCTTCGCAGCTCTGTTGTTCAGGATCTGGGAAGGAACAGAGGGTGTTGTGGGAAGAGCTTTGCCCAGCACAGAGGCCAGAATGAAGGACACGGAGAGATTTGGTTTTCTATTCCTGGTCTCTCTAATGCAACTAATGGGCCTGAAGCCTGCCCTGTGAAGAGGTGGGGAAGGAACCTCAGTGGAGGATGTCCCCAGGGAGTTGACCCACACCCCCCCTCTGTGGGGGCAGATGGCTCCCCAGGGTCTGGGCCCATGTGAACCCACTGTGTGGCTCCTGGGCCGCTCCCTGGTTCTCCACTTCAGTGACCTCTAGCTCACTCTTTTTTCCTCTTTTCCTTATTTTTTTTTTTTGAGACAGTCTCACTGTCGCCCAGGCTGGAGTGCAGTGGCATGATCTTGGCTCACTGCAACCCCCTCTACCTCCCGGGTTCAAACGATTCTCCTGCCTCAGCCCCCGAGTAGCTGGAATTACAGGTGTGCCCCACCATGCCCGGCTAATTTTTGTATTTCTAGTAGAGACGGGGTTTCACCTTGTTGGTCAGGATGGTCTCAGACTCCTGATCCACTCGCCTCAGCCTCCCAAAGTGCTAGGATTACAGGCGTGAGCCACTGCACCTGGTCTCACCCTTGTTTTGATATAAAACTCATCATTTTCTAAGAAATCTCCTTCTTAGCTCATTTTCTTTGTTCCAAAGAATGTCTTTCAAGAATTTCATCAAACATGACTCTGGTTCTCCTGTTGAGTGGAGGGCTGGAGGGCTGTGACCCGGAGTTGACGTTTATCCCGTCACATTCTGGGCACCCTCCAATTTTTCTTTGATTTAAACTAGAGGGAAGCTTGACTTGGGCTGGGAGCAGTCAGCTCTTTCTGGCAGTCTTCAGAGCTACTGAAGGGGAAGTCACCAGACACCAAGCCCCGGCGGTTGCTAGGTGCTCAGGTTACACTGATACACAAAACGAGGGTATTCAAGAGCCAAGTTCAAGTTTCCCTGCTTATATTTTTCCAGAGAGTTGGGGAGGGAGCAGCCATGTCCTACCCACAGCCCCTGGGAACTCTGCCTCATGTCTGGTATCAAGGGAATCTTTCCTCCCAGTGGTTGCACAGGACTGACCTGGGAACGCACACAATTGCAGCTTCATTCTGGTAGCTGGGCTTTCCCCCCCATAAAATGGCAGTGTCCCTTTAATTCCCTGCAAGTCTCCTCTGTGGAGCTGGCAGTAGGTTAAATGAATCAACTGACCAGCCCTTTCTCACTGGGGGCTCTGGGGTAGAAATTCTTCTTACTTGCTTCAGCTTGTGTCCAGAAACAAAGAACAGTTAAGCAGGGATTAACTTTTCCCTCTGTGGGTTTCTCTGTCCTTTCTCAGAATAGTTCCACGTCTAATTCAGGGACGTAGGTTCCTCTTGGAGCCCCACTTCTTTCCTTCATTGACCATCCATACAGCTGCTGACTGTCCCGGCTGTTCCAGTCTTCCTCACTCCCACTACGGGGAGCAAAGTGTCCCTCTGGGTTGATTTCCCAGCATGGCTCCTTGCAACTCTGATTTTAGCTTCATCTATTTCTCTCCAGCACATACCCTGGACTGGCCCTCTGCACATTCCAAAAACTTTCTATTAATGACATTATTTCCCCAAGTAGCCTTCTTTTCTGAAAAAAAGAATATATTGAACATCTCACACACATATTCTAGTTATCATTGAGATTTGACAGCAAAGGGTAGTAGAAAAAGTACTGATTTGAGAGTTAGGGTTTCTGGGTTCTCATTCTACCGTTGGCATTAACTAGTGTGTGACATGGAGAAAGTCGCTCCTCTTGGCTCATGGTCCCCTCTATAATGCCAGCGACTCTTTCAAATGCTAACAGTCTAGTGTCTATATTGAATAGTCTTGCCATCCCTTGTGAGTTTGATTGGCATTTTGTCAATCCCCATGACAAACTAGTTTCCAGTTTGGCATGTTTCTGGTGGAGCTGGTCACGATCCATTCTTCATTCTCTCCATTGAGGGTGCCTGAAATAAAAGCCAATGGTTTAATGACAGTACTTGGGATGAGGACAGCTGAGATTAGGCCCAGGACACAACCTCCTCACACTGATATTGGGACCACAGGAGGCTGTGGCATCTTGTTCTTGAGGATTCCATGACAACCTGAAGTGTTCATCTCAAAAATGCCATCCTACCGCACCATATCCCTCGCCTCCCAAACTCACACCTCAGGCCAATCCTGAGGGCAATGTAGTAACTGGACATGACCCATCAACTGTGCTCCAGAAAAGGCATCCTGGCTGCCGCAGGTCTGCACCTTCCCTGCTGAGGCGGAGCCTTCGTTCCTGAATTTGTTTGCCAAATTCATGTGTCCCCAAATGGTCCTTCTTATAGAGACGTCTGATTTGCAATCCTTACAACACCTTCATTGCTTTAAAAGAATGGGGGAGATATCTCCTTCTAATTACATTTACAGGTCCCTTTTCTCTCCTATAGAAAACAGACTCAGGTTTTTTTTTGTTTTTTTTTGTTTTTTGTTTTTTAACTTGCAAATATTTCACATTTGTTTGGAGAGCAGATTTCTTTCCAGGTTTTTGGAACGCTGAAGTCACTGACACATGGCTGTTGAGATATACTGTAGCTGAGTGCAAACATCCCCGGTTCCTAGTACAGTCAAACCTGCGTTTTAGGCCATGGTGGGTACAGGGAGGGATGAGCCTGACGTGGAACTGTCCCGGGGGATGCTGAGAATGGCCCTTTTCTGTCTGCAGAGCCCTTGAAGAGGAGATCTGAACAAGGTGTATTTTCATTTGTCTTGAGCCCTCTCACTTCCCGCCTCTCCCCTTACCCTGTCCCAGGGACAAGCTGATTCTACTTCAGATCTCTGTTTAGCAATGTTCCCCTTTTGGGAATAGTAACGGAACAGCCTAGGTCCCGGGGCATCAGTCCTGCCACATTTCTAGTCTGAGTCTAGCCCCACTTACCATTAGGCTCCCATTAGTCTGTTAGGCCCTCTTATCTAAAGGGCACCTATGAAGCAAGACCCAGTCGGGGGAGAACTGGCTGCCAAAGCCAGACACCTCGGGATCCTGCTCATTACCGTGACCTCCCTCGTCCCTGAGTTAAGTCTTAATCTGTGCATACTCGGTGGAAACTTATTTGTCCAAAGTTATTTGTCTATGTTAGTGCTTTAGGGCCTCCAAAAATCTGGCCAAGTTAGGTGGCATTAGAACAAGTATCTTGGCTGGGCACGGTGGCTCATGCCTGTAATCCCAGCACTTTGGGAGGCTGAGGTCGGCAGATCACGAGGTCGGGAGATGGAGATTATCCTGGCCAACATAGTGAAACCCCGTCTCTACTAAAAATACAAAAATTAGCCAGGTACGGTGGTACACCCCTGTAGTCCCAGCTACTCGGGAGGCTGAGGCAGGAGAATCACTTGAACCTGGCAGGCGGAGCTTGCAGTGAGCTGAGAGCAAGACTCTATCTCAAAAAACAAAAATAAAAATAAAGAAGAGCAAGTATCTCTATTTTTGTTCTCTTGCTGTGCAACTCGGTTGCACTATATAGATGTACCTTTCTGTTGGTTTTATTTGATTCAAAGAGGGATGATCTTACGTTTTATATAAATATTAAATATTAAATTTGCCTGGTTGGTGTGCGAGCAAAACCTATAATCATTAATTTTGGTCAAGTTTAAAACAGTGATTCCCATGTATGACTGCACGTTGGTATAAACACGGCAGCTTTATAAAACTTCCCATGCCTGAGGCCCATCCCCCCAAATCTATTTTAATTGATTTGGAGTAGGGCCTGGGCCTTGATTTTTTTTTTTTTTTTAAAAAGCTCCCTGATGATTCTAATTGCAGCCAAAATTGAGAGCCATTGTTCTGAATGATGCCTGAAAAATGTGCTAATTTGGTGTGTGGGGGGCAGGGGGACGCAGGGTCAAAGGAGATGTTAAACTGAATTGGCTGACTTGTTTTGTCAGTCTTCAGCCCAGTAGCTGGATAGGAGCAAAGTCAAGATTACAGTGCAGTTATGTAAGGTTTGAGGATAAGCCTCTTCTCCTAAAACTGACTCATTACTGCATGTATATTCCATTTAAAGCAATCTAGAGCAATAATGTGGAAATACTGGGTGAGAACCACGTTTTGTGAATATGGTTAGGGCCCAGTAATATTCAATAATCATTCTATGACCAGAATGGAGAAGTGACAATAAAAAAGAAATCTCCCATTTAAAATAATCTGCGCTGGAAATGCCCTAGTGTTTCTCGTAATACCGGCTGCTACTAAGCCAGTAACACACTCGTATTGCCTTGAATTTCAAGACATTACTGTGGTGATCTCTGATGATTCGAGGCTCACATTTTGCCATCTCTTGTCCCTGACCTGAACTTCCGGTTCAGTGTGTCTGAAGGCAGAGTGGGAAGACAATTCAGGTAGCAGAGAAGTGAACAAAGGACAATCCCTGAATAGGCGAATTGAAGCTCGTTAGCAGTTAGCCCAGAATGAGGCTGATATCTCTCAGCAGGATTTTTCAGGAGCTGGGAATGGTTGGAATTTTTGTTTTCCTTTTCCTGGGAAAGAGAGGCCCGTTAGCTCTCCAGCTGCATTAGAACTTAATTTGTTTTGTTTGTTTTTGTTTTTGTTTTAACACTGTAGAGGGGACAGTACATTCCAAAAGTTAGAGGACAGCTAAGGGAGATTCGTCCTCTTTAGAGGATATCATGAAGCATATGGTGCCTCACAGGGATGGGGAAGGCAGTTCACAGGCAGGAGCCAAGACAGGGATTAGCTCATAGAAGGTGGCTGGCTGGATGTAGGAAGAGCTGCCAGGTAAAGGGACCCAAGCTTGGGACTTAAAGTTCAGGTCTAGTCGTGTTTTTAAAGAGTTGTCATCTTTCAAATATATAAGTGTAAAGATTTAGGAACTGCCCTCAGGAATGAGGTGCATGAAACTCACAGACAGACCAAAATCCCAAAATCTTTGGTACCTAGTGGACATTTCCCTGGGGCTGCTTCCTGGCCAGGGTGTCTGCTGCCCTCCACTAATAGCCAGGGAGCCCAGCCCTTGGTGTAGGAGTACAGGTTGAAATGCTCAGGGGTTTACCTGATCCCACAGCTTTAGAGGCAAGAAGCTGACATTTAAGGCTTTAACAGTGCTCCTTTTCTAAGTAAATGACAACCTGGAGAAAGGTCTAACTGAACCAGGCGTTTGACATTTTCAAGCTGACTTTCTTTTCAGAGAGACTGGAAGACTGACTCCCATCATACTCTTTCCCAGCCTCCTGGTGGAAAGGGAACCCCCAGTCCCACTGTGGTTCCTGAACATGCCAAAGGCACAGGCACAGGCTCAGCTTGGCTTAGCCTGAGGTCCCTTCCCGAGGGCTGTGTCTTCAGTGGGATGAGAAAGACGTTGGCAGAGGCTTTTAGGCTATGAACACGCCAGGTGCATTTAGTCAACAGTGTAAGCTGAATACCAGAAAAGATAAAGTAGAAAAAAGGGCTGCAAAATTGCCACCTGAGGCAGAACTATACGAGGCTCAGTCCAGGGGAGGCCCTGTTTCTCATGGCCCTTGTCTGATGGTCATGATAAATTAAACATAAACACCAACCCATATGCTAGAAATTGATTTCAACTCATTTACCAAATAAGCAAAATATCGGTATCGATGATGTATAGTTAGATCTCTATTTGCCAATCGATCTCCTTCTGCAGTCCCCAGTCTGTGCTAGACAGAGCAGACCACTTCTCTGTGCTGCCTAAGCAGTGCTTTCCTTGGACCCTGCTGTGCTCACTACTTCGGACAGGGAAAGTGACTCTCCCAGGCTACAATGGACCTGTAACTTACTCATCTTGCAACCTCAGCAGTGGAAGGCTCGTGGTGAACGTCGACGGAATGAACCTGCGTGTCCATGGAGTCCATCTGTTATCTCTAATAAACACTGAAAGTCAAAGAACAAGATGGAATAATCAGGAAACAGAGAAAGCGGTATCATCAGGTAACCAGGAGGTAGAAGCATAAGGATGAAACATGAAATCATTCATAGCAAGTTAGTTTCTCTTCTCCTGGTCACGTCACTCCCCACATCCCCAAAGGAGGAAGTGTAGTGGACAGGTGTTGGCTGAGAGTCCAGAGGACCTGGATCAAGAGTCAGGAGGGTGGTCTTCTCTCTAATTGAACGTGTGGCTTGGAGTCAGTTCCTCTCCTTTTCTGGGCTTCAGTTTCCCCTTCTATAGAATAAGAAGATTAGACTAGGTGGCCTCTCAAAGTCTTTACAGCTCTGATATTTTGTAATTTTATGCATCAAACGCTATAATTCCAAAGTATTAAAGAAAAGGGCAGTACCCCATGGTTTGAGGGGCAGGGACTATAGCACAGACTGCACCAGACCCACCAGCCTTTAGTTCTGGAGGACCTAAGTGAGTGTCAGCTTGAAAACACTCAGTGTTTGAAATGCCAGACCACAGCTGCACAAAATAGGAAAAATCTTGTTAGGAAATGACCACAGTCCGCTAGAGCTGTGGAAAACATTGCCTCAGACAAAAAGGACTTTTCCATTGGGGGAAAAAAAAAATCAGCAGTATTGTGTCTGCTCATGCCGTCTGCCCCGGCAGTTCTCATCGAGTCCTGCCTACTCAGGTCCCGGGCTCTGGGGCAGTGCTTTTCCACTTCATGTCGGTCCTAATGGTAAATGCAGGTTGTTCTCCTCTTCTGGCCCCAACTGCCCCAGGAATCAGACTTTGAAGTCATTTTAAAATTCATCTTTGGACTGTCTGACTTGTCAATGCTTCCTCCAGAGGCAAAAACCACAACATGCTTTCACTGGAATGATCTCGCGACACCTATTGAATCCCCTGTGTGTGAGGAGATCTCGCGACACCTATTGAATCCCCTGTGTGTGAGGAGATCTCGCGACACCTATTGAATCCCCTGTGTGTGAGGAGATCTCGCGACACCTATTGAATCCCCTGTGTGTGAGGAGATCTCGCGACACTATTGAATCCCCTGTGTGTGAGGAACATGACACCCCAGGTAGGGAAGTGCATTGCTCAAGGTCACATACAGAGGTCAGGGGACTGGGTCCTGAGGCTGGCGCAGGGTTCTTCCCATTTCCAAGCTGTCTCTAGCCACAGGGCTGATTCTCATCTACCTTCCCACACAGAGGTTTCCCGACCAACCAATGAGCCAACCAGCTAACCACCCTGTGCGTATTTCCTATACGCCTCGGACTCTGCGTTCTCTGATGCTCTGCTTTGTAAACAATTATTTTTTCACTGTTCCCAAATGCAACAGTAAACAGTAAGCACTCACCTTTGGCGGCAGAGCAGAGCTGGCCTGCTTCTTTGAGTCCTGCTTCAGTTTCTGGAACTTAAGCATAGTGTCCCTCCTATTCCTTGGAAGACATGCAGCTGCTAAGAAGGAGTTGCATATTTCCACGTGGGGTCCAGGGAGAGATGTCTGGTCAGACCCCAGCTCTGGGCCAGGGTGGCTTTGGTCTGAGCAGTGTTCAGACCTATGCAGGAAGCCGCACCAGGTAGAGAGGAGGCCTCAGCCTGCCCAGGTACCCACCCTGGTGCAGCCCTCTGCGTCTGCCACCATGAGGGCCCCTTCCTGAGGCTCCACAGTTGGGCCAGGTGCAGTCCTTGCCCAGTCAATGCTTTCTGGGCTCACTCTCTCGAACAGGAAGTAGCCCCTTTTGTTCTTAGACCACCACAGATGCAGACAAAGCCCGGCTTTTAAAGAAGAAATTTCTACTAAAATAAAATAGAAAATAAGCAAAACCTAGATATGATCATATTTACAGACTATAATTTTCTAAATAAAATGTTAAATGCATATTTATGGTAGAAAACTTGGAAATAGATATTTTAAGAATCCATAAGCCCACCCATCGCCTAGCCCCGTGCTGCCTCTAACACAGTAGCAAGGAAGCAGGTGTTGCCACTGAGCGTTTGAAATGCGGCTGATCTGAACGTGGTAGCAAGTAAGCAGGTGTTGCCACTGAGCGTTTGAAATGCAGCTGATCTGAACAGAGATGCACTGTAAGTGTAAAACACACACGGGAGTTGGAAGATTTAGTACCGAAAATGTAAAATATTTCGTTAATACTTTCAAAAATACTCATTACATGCCTGAGATGATAGCATTCTGGATATATTGGATTAAACATATATATATATATACACACACACACACATATATAATATATATATATTTTGACAGCGCAGTGGTGTGATCAGCTCACTGCAACCTCCACCTCCCAGGTTCAAGCAATTCTCCTGCCTCAGACACCCGAGTAGCTGGGATTACAGGCACCTGACACCACGCCCAGCTAATTTTTGTATCTTTAGTAGAGACGGGGTTTCGCCACGTTGGCCAGGCTGGTCTCAAATTCCAGACCTCAGGTGATTCACCCATCCTCGGCCTCCCAAAGTGCTGGGATTACAGGCGTGAGCCACTGCACCCAGCCAACAAATATATTATTAAAATTAATTTGACCTGTTTCTTTTTACTGTTTTTGGAAGCTACTGAAAACCATAAAATTATATATATGGCTCACATCACATGTCTGTTGGACAGCCCTGATCAAGAGAAACCACTGATAACATTTTGGCACACCCGCTCCATTGTGGGGTTTATATATCGAAGAGTCTGGTCATTCTGGCACCTCCCCTCCATTGTGCGGTATATATATTTGAAGAGTCTGGCTCCCGGTTAAACACCTATGTGTGATTTTTCAGGTCTGACTGCAAGCAATGACAGAGGCTTGACCTGGCAGACCTCCCGGGGAGGCTCCCCTCCCCACACCAGAGCTGGTGCCCAGCCAGCACTCAGGAGGCTCTGAGGGGAGTTAAGGACTCAGCCCCACTGTGCTATGCTCTTCACATGTTTGCATTCTTAGCCCGGTGTCTTCATTCCTAAGTCTCTTTCTCTGAGGCCTTGGGCTGAGGTTTTTTTCAGGTGCCTCTTCTGAGGCCTCCTTACCAGGGGGAGGAGGGAGAGCCCTGAAGACCTGTTTCGCCAGTCTGACTCAGCACCCAGGACTTTCCCACTCTACCCCGCACCCCCACCCCAGGGGCCATAAAACTGCTGGAGCCTTTGGTTGGGGGCTCCCTCAACAGTGAGATGTCCGCCACCTCGGCACCGACCCACCTGACCCTTGAAGGGTGCACTGTTTCATGGGGAAAATGAAACAGGAGAGCCTGTGGCTTCTCCGGCTTTAGCCTCCTATTTATATTAAGACTATCATAGCAAGTGATTAAAGGTGGCACTGGTTTTTTTTGTTTTTGTTTTTGTTTTGGTTCATTCTTGCTGTGATGAGCTACTCTGACATCTGACAGCTCAGCTCTCTCTCCCAGCTTAGCTGAACTCCCAACAGTATTTTTTTTCTTTTTTTTCGGGGGGAGCAGGCAGAGTCTCACTCTGTTGCCCAGGCTGGAGTGCAGTGGCTCGATCTCGGCTCATTGCAACCTCCACCTCCTGTGTTCAAGTGATTCTCCTGAGTCAGCCTCCTGAGTAGCTGGGACTACAGGCATACGCCACCACACCCAGCTAATTTTTGTAATTTTAGTAGAGATGGAATTTTGCCATATTGGCCAGGCTGGTCTTGAACTCCTGACCTCAAGTGATCCACCTGCCTCAGCCTCCCAAAGTGCTAGGATTACAGGTGTGAGCCACACAGCCCTCCCAACAGTGTTTTTAAAAACAAAACAGTAATCACATTGAAATACAATTATATCTGTCTCAGTCAGGGTCCCAACAGGAGACAGATGGCACCGTCACATCAGGGTAACTCAGGGAGGTTTTATTTATAAAAAGCTAACTAATAACAAACTTAAGGATGGAGTGGAGGAGAATGAAAAAATAACTCAGAACCCGAGGGCTGGCGGCGGCAGACCTGTGACCATCCCTAAGTCCGAAGGGACCAGAGGAGGGGTAGGCTACCAGAACCAGGAAAGAGAGGCAGCTGTGCGGAGTTGGGGTGCACTTAAAGGAAGAAAACGACCAGCCCAGGGCACGGTCATAGGAATGCAGCCAGGGAAATAAGCAGCCTGGAATCCCTTTTCTCCTTCCCCCCGATCTGCTAAGGCTCTTCATTGGCTGACTCCAGTCAGAAGCAGGAGGAGATGAGTCTGTTGCCCTAGTCCTCTTTCAGTGCAGGAGGCAATGGAGATGGCCAGAGGTGGGAGTACGAGGATGGGGTGAATCTAGAGAGGCAAAGAGCTGACTGCAACCAGCCTGGCCAACACGTCAAAACCCCATCTCTACCAAAAATACAAAAATTGGCCGGGCATCGGGAGGCTGAGGCAGGAGAATCGCTTGAACCCAGGAGGCGGAGGTTGCAGTGAGCTGAGATGGAGCCACTGCACTCCAGCCTGGGTGACAGAGCGAGACTCCATCTCAACAAACAAACAAAAAAACAAAGAGGTGTCTGCGCTTTTTTCTCGCAGCATTGCCCTAAGTCATAGCCTAAGTGCCCTATTTCCTTGTTAATGTAACAGATCTTTGTCCTTACAGTGACCGAGTGGCACAATTTACTGAGCACCCACCCCATGCGCCGAGCACCCCACCCCATGCACCGAGCACCCCCATGCACCGAGCACCCCACCCCATGCGCCGAGCACCCCACCCCATGCGCCGAGCACCCCCATGCACCGAGCACCCCCATGTGCCGAGCACCCCACCCCATGAGCCGAGCACCCCACCCCATGCGCCGAGCAGCCCACCCCATGCGCCGAGCAGCCCACCCCATGCGCCGAGCACCCCACCCCATGAGCCGAGCACCCCCATGCACCGAGCACCCCCATGAGCCGAGCACCCCACCCCATGCGCCGAGCAGCCCACCCTATGCGCCGAGCACCCCACCCCATGCACCGAGCACCCCCATGCACCGAGCACCCCCATGTGCCGAGCACCCCACCCCATGCGCCGAGCAGCCCACCCCATGCGCCGAGCAGCCCACCCTATGCGCCGAGCACCCCACCCCATGCACCAAGCACCCCACCCCATGCGCCGAGCACCCCCATGCACCGAGCACCCCACCCCATGCACCGAGCACCCCACCCATGCGCCGAGCAGCCCACCCCATGCGCCGAGCAGCCCACCCTATGCGCCGAGCACCCCACCCCATGCACCAAGCACCCCACCCCATGCGCTGAGCACCCCCATGCACCGAGCACCCCACCCCATGCACCGAGCACCCCACCCATGCACCGAACACCCCACCCCGTGTGCCGAGCAGCCCACCCCATGCACCGAGCAGCCCACCCCATGCCTCTGTCCTGTCTGGGTTTGTAGCCTGAGGTAGATTCAGAGGACACTATCTGGTGGGGTGTGTCTGCACACACACATGCGCACGCACGAGTATTATGCTCTCAGTCCCTATCAGAATATGCTTCCTTCAATCTTAGGCTAGAGGCACAGAGGCCCCGGGGGCTCACACCCTCCGTTAAGATTGAAGGAAGCATATGCTGATAGGGACCGAGAGTATAACACGGTGCCTTCCATGAGCTGGTTCCTTTGAATCCTGCCCTCATTTCCACTGTCCTCAGCCTCTGCTTTATTGAGATGAGTCCCACACCTCCCACCCACTCCACCCCACTCCTTGCTGGCTAAACACAAGTGCCTGGTGCCCTCCAAAAAAATCGTGAGTCTACGAAAAGGGGGAGTCTGGAAAAGATGGGAGTGACCTCTATCAGCTAAGATTTCCGGAGCTGAGTGGACTCCCCTGGGAGAGCGCGCAGAGCTCCACTCCCTAATTGAATCTTCAATTGTCTAGTTTAAGTTTGCTGGAAAATTAGATGAAAAAACTCCCCAGGCCACACACTCCTGGAGCCAAGGGCCGGGAAAGTGGCAGGGAAAAGGAAGATTGCACAGACTCTTGTCGTCTACATAAAAGGCAAGGGGTGCTGAGTTGGGGCTGAGATCCACCAAAGACCTCGTCAGGGTTTAAGGGTCAGCTGGGGGACCTGTGCTCAGGGACAAGGAGGCTTATTTGCAAAGGAAGAAGGAGCCTAAGAGAGGGGCATAGAAAACACTGAGAGAAGGTAATGCCGCGGCGGGGATGTGGCGAGCAGAAGGGAGTCATTTTATAGAACAGGAAACAATCTGTTGCGGGGATTATTATACCTCCTGAGGAAGAAAAGGCAATTTAATTTTTTGGGAGAAGGCAATCGGAGTGTAAACTGACGAGGATGCCATCTGAAACAGTGTTCCTTCTGGGCTTGTCCAGACTCTGGAAATGCAGAGGACCCGGGTGTCCTATCAGAAGCAAGCCCCGGGGTGCAAACAAGTCTTTCTGGCTGGAAGGAAGGTGCAGGCACAGCAGTGATGTCCTTCCGGCACTGTGCCTGGCACAAGCGGGCACCCGGCACATTTGTGCCCACCTGGCTGTTGCTGTCTGCCCTGTCACCCGCATCCACACCAGATGCATCTCCAGACTCCTTCATTCATTTCCTCATTCATTCACTTGTCTGACAAATGTTTACGGAGCTCCTCGCTCTGTGCCGGGCATAGGGCTAGGCACTGAAGGAGATGAGAGAAAAATAAGTTAGAGTTTTCACCTCCAGAGAGCTGATGGTCTAGTGGAGAAGCAAACCAATGAACACATTTCCAAGTCTCCAATGCAGTAAAGGACAGCGACAGGGAAGAGCTCGGTTTGACAGTGTAAGGACTAGGGAGGGGTTGAGAAGACTTCTCTTACAAGTGAAGAGCCAAGAAAAAAAAAAGGGATTGAAAGAAAGGCCCAAGAAGGAGGAAGAGAATTAGAGGAGATTTATTCCCCTAGTCCAGTAGGCAGAAGCTCAGCAGATATTTCTTGGCCCACGCCCCATAAAAATTGAATCCATAAATAAC